ATGAGCGGCGGCTCCGGCCAAGCGTATCTTTACAACTTACTGGCTTTCTCGTAAAACACACCGTTTGGTTCCGCAGCTATTAGAGATGGTCGTTGTCTGCTGCAGCGGTGAGCGACAGAGGGTGAAGTTCCTCCGGGGAAGAATCACCTCAGGGCGCGCCTGGGACGTTCACCCCTCTGTCGGTCCTGCAGTCAAGGCAGACTTTGTCCCACCTGGGGTGCCGAACTCTCTAACTGGAGCAGTTATGCAGCAGGCAGGCTTTAATCAGCGCGCTGGTGCACGGGGGATCTCTCCTCCGAAGACGTGCACACTGACACAGCCGTTACCCGAGTTAAATGCAATAAAAGTTACAAATTCATGAGACGCCTGAACATATTCATGAGCTGCCCCGAAACAGGCACTGGGTTCCGGTGGTCAGCAGCTCCTCCTCTTGACGCTGGCGCTCTGTCTCCTGGTGGTCGTGGCCAGGGGTCTCCAGGGATGAAGGCCGTAGGTTTTCCTCACGATGAACTTTTTACCTTAGTCCCAAAACTGTTTGTTCTCAGCACTTTTCATCCTCAAATCTTGTCCCTGAATTCCACAAGGGGCTTCCTCACCAGATGGTCCTTGTTAGACACCCTTATCACTCGTGTTCTTGTCAATTATTTTTGGTTTATGTTCTTTTGCACAGCCTCCATCCTGTCGGCCTTTGGCTAATTGCCGCCTAACGACCCTGAGAACTGCTTTTTGCAAGATGTTTCCTCCCTTATCGAATCCCTTCAGGTTCTACTGCTCTTCTCTTATTTGTTTTCTTTCACAGTTCACTGGGTGCTATTCCCTTCCATCAGAGCTGCCCGCCTCCAAGACAAGACCCTGCCTCTCCCCCATCAATCAAACCAAAAATACACCCTCAAACTGGCCTTAAACTGTCTTGAAAAGAAAAGAAGTAAAAGCAAAAATACCCTCCAAAACTGTCTTTAAAAGAAAAGAAATAAAAGCAAAAAATGCCCTCCAAAACTGTCTTAAAACTGTCCTTAAAAGAAATAAAACTAAAAATACCCCCCAAACTGTCTTTAAATTGTCTTTAAAAGAAAAGAAATAAACCCAAAAATATCCTCCAAAACTGTCTTTAAACTGCCTGAAACTCCCTTTAAAAAAAGAAGTAAAACCAAAAATACCCCCAAAGCTGCCTTTAAAAGAAAATAAAATCAAAAATACCCTCCCAAATTGTCTTTAAACTGTCTGAAACTGCCTTTAAAAAAAAACCAAACCAAAAATACCCCCCAAAACTGTTTTAAAAATAAATAAACCCAAACTCACCCTCAAAACTGTCTTTAAAAAAAAAAAAAGAGAGAAAGAAACGGCATTTGTGTTACCCGCAGGGGTCTGTGCTACAAACATAGAGGGTTTTATACATCGGTAACCAACTGGTTGTTACAGTAAAGTGTTCTTGTCTTGTAAAAACAGGCATTAGCGCACCAAATATCTTCAGGCGACATGTTAGATTTGATTTCTTCCGTGTAAAACCAAACAACCATTTTTAAAGTTGAAGAGTTTCGGTTTGTTTTTAGCTAGTAAATGAAATATTCCTTTTTTTTTTATTTTCTCTCTAGGAAGAAAAACTGCTTTAACACAGTTTTAGGCTTTTCTGTATCTTTCTTATGCGTTCAGTGACCTTATAATTCATCTCTAAAAACTTATTTTATTTCCTTAGGGTTTTTTATATCCTCTTCACCTTATAAATGGTTAAAGTAACCCACGAGTTAGTGTTTGTTAGTGTGCAGCGTTATTACATGTTAATCTGGGCATGTGCAGTGAATTTTGGAAACCTACATTTAATTCGAAGAGAGGAAAGAACGAACGGATGGTCCTTAAGTAGGTGCAGCCTAAAGGCGTGAGTAACTCTTTAAAACCCACCTCCGGGGTAAGATTTTCCATGCAAGGCTGCCTTGGTATAACGAACTGTGTCGGATGCCCCTGTTTTGCTCAGAACTGAAATAAAACCAAATATCTCAACTTTCTGGCGCTTGCACAGAGAGTGAAGAACCCGGATTTAGGGACGACGCTCCCACCGCAGCCAAAACTCCTCCTGG